GATCTACTGACACCCCCCCACACTAGGAGGCCCAGGACTGAGCACAGCGGCAACGGCCTACATGTGCATACACCGGGATTCGAACCCGAGACTGCTCTGACACCATGTCAGAATCCCAACCACTAGACCATTGGGATAGAAGGGCTTGTTAAGTAGCGGGTCAGAGTGCGCCCATAAAACCCCAGGCGAACGCGCCTGTAAACCCCCTAGGATCAATCGGGCATCCACAGTGCAGATCTACAGACATACTGACACAACAGTCACCTCTCCCTCCCACCCCGCCTCTCTTCCCATCGTGCTGACAGAACCACCACCCATCTTGCCATCGCCTCTCCCACCCACCTCGCCATCGCCTCTCCCTCCAACCACACCACCGTCAACCTGCCGTCATCTCCTCTGTCAACCCGCCTTCTCCCTCCTATCCCGCCGTCGCTTCCCTCATAGCCTGCTGTCGCATCCTCCTTAGCCTGCCATCCCCCCCCCCCCTCCTTCCCATCCCACCATCGCCTCTCTCATCCCGCCGTCGCCTCTTCCTCTGACTCTGTCGTCGCCTCTCCTGCTCACCGTCGCTGCTGACAATAGCTGCACGAGCGCGAGCTGGTGGGGGAGCGCGGGTCGATCTCTCAGGCACCTTGATTCTCAGGTGCGTTGACCTTTCCCGGTCTTTTTTTCCTCCATCTCCACTCTGAAATTCCTTAATTTTCACATTTCTCGTAGGTTCTTTGTGTGTCGATTGATCTCCTCTTGCATTGCAACATCATTTGAAGAGGAGGAGAGAGGGAGCGCGAGTGAGAGCGTTCGCGCGGGAGCGAGCACCCTGGTGCCTAACGCGCTTGCGCCAAGCACGCTGGCGCCTAACGTGCTGACGCCTAATGCGCTGGCTCCTTAGGGTGCAAGCGCTTAGGATGCTGGTAGGGCGCTGCCCTTAGGGCGCTCTCGCTTCAGGTGCTGCGCCCTAGGCCGATGGCGCCTGGAGTGTTCACACCATGAGCACGCGTGTGGGCCCTGTTCTTTGGCGCCAAATGCGTTTCTTGGCACTAGCCGTGCAGCACGGCCCGTGCTAGCGTCACACGTATTAATGTGAAGCGTGAAGACATCATGTGCACCGGCGCTGCGTTTGTTGATGCCAGGTGCACATGGTAAGGCAAACAACTCACCACCTCCCTTTCCCCGCTTGTTCTCCATTCCAACCCTCCAGGTGTCTCAGCATTGAGTGCTCCTCTTATCAAGCCGCAAGAGCAATGTTGGGTGTGAGCATCGCGGCATAAGACGGTGAGTGAGTAAGAGGGAGAGAAATCCGCATTTCTCGATGTTGATGCTAGGTGAGTATAGGATCAACGTAGAGGACCAAGTCCGCGCAACATATTCACATGAAGCGCGCATATGCGCCATTGATTGGCTTAGGGTACGCCGAAGAAGGCCCAGGGTCGTAGGACAGGCGACCGATTTGGCAAGGTGGCCGATCGTCACGTATTCCATGCCCTCCGTGGCGAGAGAGAGATAGAGATAGAGAGAGAGAGAGAGAGAGAGAGAGAGAGAGAGAGAGAGAGAGAGAGAGAGAGAGAGAGAGAGAGAGAGAGAGAGAGTCACCTTATGCAACGCGTTAGGTGCAGGCGCATCTCCAGGTAAGGGTTTGGGATAACGACCAGCTGCCCGTTTAGCGCAAATGCTATACAATGTCGACAGTTCGCGTTCATATCCCCGTAAGTCGACCATGCACTACCGTCCGCACCGCGTTCACTCCATCGACTTAGCATCTCCTACTCTCACATTTGCTATTTTCGTCACCCATCCCCTGCATGCCATCCATGACAAATAGGCCCCCTTCGTTGCATAGTCAAGGGCCCAGTCACGGGCTTGGTACTTCACCGTTTCGCGCCGCATCGGTTACACCCACTCCCACCTCCCTCCCATATGTCTCCCATTCCCGCCTAGTTCTCTTGGGTGGCCATCCCCTCCATTCCGTCCGCGTCCTCCCATTTGCATGCGCACGCGACCCGCGTGCTCGGTGTCGCACGCGCCCGGCTGCATTCACGCCTCTTCGTCTCGGAATGCCCACCCTTTTAAACGCCCTTCCTCGTGTTCCACCTTTTCTTCCCCCATCCGCACGCTCCATGCTGCGTTCTCCCTTCCGTATGCGCATCGCCGCCCGCTCCCAAGGGTATGCGCATTGGCGCATGCTCCCAAGCGTATGCGCAGTGCCTCCTTTTCCTAAACGTACGCGCATTGCCGCGTTCTCCAATCTGCATGCACCTTGCCGTGCTGAGGCTGTCTCGCGCTCCTCATATATTTGCCACTGACACTTGTTGCCCCCATGTAACAACAGGACGTGAAGTGTGGACAGCTTGGAATAGACGGTTCCGTGTGGGGGGAAGGGGGAGGGAGGGAACGGAACCTTCCGGATATGTGAGTCCACATTATAACCCAAGAGGACATCCCCATCACGTCCCTGCCTCCCTTGCACATCCTCGCATTCCCCCTCTCGTTCCTCCCTTCATTGCGACTCTGTCGATTTCCTCTCACGCCCTTTCCTCCTGGGCGCGTCCCCTATTAACCCTCTGGTCACTCCCTCCCCTGCACCTCGTCCCATTCCCCCTCTCGTCCATTCCTCCATGCGCCTCCGTGCATTCCAGCTCTCGTCCCTCCCCCCCGTGCGCGTTCTCCCACTCCCCCACTCGACCCTTCCTCTCTCATGCCTCGACCCACCCCGCCCACTCGTCCCCTCCTCCCTTGCACTGCGCCTCATCCCATTACAGGTCTCGTCCCACACTCCCATGCACGTTGCCCCATTCCCCCACTTGTCCCTTCCTCGCTTGCGCCTCGTCCCATTCCCTCACCCGTCCCTTCCTCGCTTGCGCCTCGTCCCATTTCCCCACTCGTCCCTTCCTTGCTTGCGCCTCGTCCCATTCCCCCACTCGTCCCTTCCTCGCTTGCGCCTCTTCCCATTCCCCCACTCGTCCCTTCCTCGCTTGCGCCTCGTCCCATTCCCCCACTCGTCCCTTCCTCGCTTGCGCCTCGTCCCATTCCCCCACTCGTCCCTTCCTCCTTTGCGCCTCGTCCCATTCCCCCACCCGTCCCTTCCTCGCTTGCGCCTCGTCCCATTCCCCCACCCGTCCCTTCCTCGCTTGCGACTCGTCCCATTTCCCCACCCGTCCCTTCCTCGCTTGTGCCTCGTCCCATTCCCCCACTCGTCCCTTCTTTGCTTGCGCCTCATCCCATTCCCCCACCCGTCCCTTCTTGGCTTGCGCCTCGTCCCATTCCCCCACTCGTCCCTTCCTCGCTTGCGCCTCGTCCCATTCCCCCACTTGTCCCTTCCGCCCTTGCGCCTCGTCACATTCCCCCAATTGTCCCTTCCTCCCTTGCGCCTTGTCCCACTCCCCCACTCGTCCCTTCCTCCCTTGCGCCTCGTCACATTCCCCCACTCGTCCCTTCCTCCCTTGCGCCTCGTCCCATTCCCCCACTCGTCCCTTCCTCCGTTGCGCCTCGTCCCACTCCCCCACTCATCCCTTCCTCCCTTGCGCCTCCTCACATTCCCCCACTCGTCCCTTCCGCCCTTGCACCTCGTCACATTCCCCCACTCGTCCCTTCCTCCCTTGCGCCTCCTCACATTCCCCCACTCGTCCCTTCCGCCCTTGCGCCTCGTCACATTCCCCCACTCGTCCCTTCCTCCCTTGCGCCTCGTCCCATTCCCCCACCCGTCCCTTCCTCCCTTGCGCCTCGTCCCATTCCCCCACTCGTCCCTTCCTCCGTTGCGCCTCGTCCCACTCCCCCACTCATCCCTTCCTCCCTTGCGCCTCCTCACATTCCCCCACTCGTCCCTTCCGCCCTTGCGCCTCGTCACATTCCCCCACTCGTCCCTTCCTCCCTTGCGCCTCGTCCCATTCCCCCACCCGTCCCTTCCTCCCTTGCGCCTCGTCCCATTCCCCCACTCGTCCCTTCCTCCCTTGCGCCTCCTCACATTCCCCCACTCGTCCCTTCCGCCCTTGCGCCTCCTCACATTCCCCCACTCGTCCCTTCCTCCCTTGCGCCTCGTCCCATTCCCCCACCCGTCCCTTCCTCCCTTGCGCCTCGTCCCATTCCCCCACTCGTCCCTTCCTCACTTGCACTTCGTCCCATTCCCCCATTTGTCCCTTCCTCCCTTGCGCCTCGTCCCATTCCCCCATTTGTCCCTTCCTCCCTTGCGCCTCGTCCCATTCCCCCATTTGTACCTTCCTCCCTTGCGCCTCGTCCCATTCCCCCATTTGTCCCTTCCTCCCTTGCGCCTCGTCCCATTCCCCCACTCGTCCCTTCCTCGCTTGCGCCTCGTCCCATTCCCCCACTCGTCTTCCCATTCCCCCTCTCGTCCATCCTTTCTCTGTGCCTTCTTGCACCCCAGCTCTCCTCCCTCCCCCCCCCCCCCGCGCACATCGTTGCATGACCCCACTCGTCCCTTCTTCCCTTGCGCAGTCGTCCCATTCCCCCTCTCCTCCCTTCCTCCCACATGGCCCGTCCTCAAGGCGAGTGGCCATCGCTATCACCACCGCCCAACCTGCTGATTTCCCTCCCAAGCCCCCCTGCCTCTGTACCCTCTCCGATCCCTCCTGCAGTCTCTCTCACACGTCGCTCTAGGCCCATCCCCCAAGGCAGCTAGGAGAGTGAGTGGCCATAGCTATCACCACTGCCCCACCTGCTGATTTCCCTCCCAAGCCCCCATGCCTCTGCACCCTCTCCGATCCATCCTGCAGTCGCTCTCACACGTCGCTCTAGGCCCATCCCCCAAGGCAGCTAGGCGAGCGAGTGGCCATCGCTATCACCACCGCCCCACCTGCTGATTTCCCTCCCAAGCCCCCCTGCCTCTGCACCCTCTCCGATCCCTCCTGCAGTCGCTCTCAAACGTCGCTCTAGGCCCACCCCCCAAGGCAGCTAGGCGAGCGAGTGGCCATCGCTATCACCACCGCCCCACCTGCTGATTTCCCTCCCAAGCCCCCCTGCCCCTGCACCCTCTCCGATCCCTCCTGCAGTCATTCGAGTTGGGGGAGGAGGAGGAGGCCATCGATATGGACGCGCCATTCGAGGACGAGTTTAAGGAGCAGGTCGGACGGTCCAAGGCGGAGATCGCGGTGATGGGGAAGGAGTGGGTGGAGGAGGCGGTGGTGCGGGCCATGAGGGTTGCCATAAGGGAACAGGTGGTGAATATAATGATTTTGGTTCTACAGCATATTCGTTCGGCCGCCCTACGTTCGGCCGCCCTCCCACAGTTTACTGATCGTGTTGCCGATCCCAATTCCACGCTGTCCCCGGCTGCCGATCCCAATTCCACGCTGTCCCCGGCTGCCGATCCCAATTCCACGCTGTCCCCGGCTGCCGATCCCAATTCCACGCTGTCCCCGGCTGCCGATCCCAATTCCACGCTGTCCCCGGCTGCCGCGTCCCCAGCGAAAAATACAGGCTCCCCGAAGCAGGCATCTGCAAGCGTGGCGACCGCACAAATGGCCTGCGAGCGTGGCGACCGCACGAATGGCCTGCGGGCGTGGCGACCGCGGCCGTGTCAAACTTATATATAGCTTACATTTGGGTAGCCCATAAGGGGTACAACCCAATTAGGGTTAGTACTTGTACCCAACTCTTTGCTAGTTCATTCATTCTCGTTCATTCATTCTGACATGGTATCAGAGCAGGTCCTTTCCTAGGACCGGTTTTTTCTTTGGGCTCACCACCTGCTGCCCTGCTAGGCACCTAGGCCCCTAGGCCCCTAGGCCCGACACGTCGCCCCTTGGCGTCGCCCGTCGCCCCAAGCCCGTCGCTCGTCGCGACCCCCTTCGCCCCTAGCCTAGGACCAGGCCCCGCGGCCCCACGGCCCCTCGCGACCCTCGGCCCAGCAACCCACAACACCTAGGCCCCGCGACCCGCGACCCGCGACCCACAGCCCCTAGGCCTCGCGACCCACGGCCCCTAGGCCCCACGGCCCCTCGCGACCCACGGCCCCGCGACCCACGACCCGCGACCCCTAGGCCTCGCGACCCACGGCCCTTAGGCCCCGCGACCCGCGACCCACGGCCCCTAGGCCTCGCGACCCACGGCCCCTAGGCCCCACGGCCCCTCGCGACCCACGGCCCGCGACCCACGGCCCCGCGACCCACGACCCGTGACCCCTCGGCCCCGCGACCCACGGCCCCTAGGCCCCGTGACCCACGGCCCCTAGGCCCCGCGAGCAACGGCCCGCGACCCACGGCCCTGCGACCTGCGACCCATGGCCCCTAGGCCCCGCGACCCAAGGCCCCTTGCGACCCACGGCCCCTAGGCCCCACAGCCCCTCGCGACCTACGGCCCCACGGCCCCTCGGCCCCACGGCCCCACGACCCCTATGCCCCTCGGCCCCGCGACCCACGGCCCCTCGCGACCCACGGCCCCTAGGCCCCGCGACCCACGGCCCGCGACCCTCGGCCCCGTGTCCCACGGCCCCCTAGGCCCCGCGACCCACTGCCCCTAGGCCCCACGACCCACGGCCCGCGACCCACGGCCCCGCGACCCGCAACCCGCGACCCCTCGGCCCCGCGACCCACTGCCCCTAGACCCCGTGGCCCCTCGGCCCCTCGCGACCCACGGCCCCTAGGCCCCTCGGTCCCCAGCCCCTCGCGACCCACGGCCCCTAGGCCCCTCGGTCCCTGGCCCCTCGGCCCCTGCTACTGCTACTGCTACTGCTGCTACTGCTACTGCTACTGGAGCTACTGCTACTGCTGCTACTGCTGCTCCTGCGAGCTGTGCCACTATGGCTTCGCTTAGGGTTCTCGTGTTTGATCATGAGGGCAGACCAGTTCGGTTTGACACGTGGCTCGACGACCTGCAGCTGTACCTACTGAGCGATTCTAAGGAGAGTGTTTCGCTGTTTGACCTTGTGTCAGGCGCCGCTCCTGCCCCTCCCGCCACAGCTGACAGTGCGACTCGCGACGCTGCTGCCTGCTTGGCCATTTGCAACCACCTGCCGTAAGCCAAATGCGCTCACTTCGGACAGCACAGGATAGCACAAGCACTGTACGACGCTGTCGTCGCTCACTACTCTTCGCCTGCCACTGCTGCTCTAGGCCGCTTACTTCTGCCCTACCTGTTCCCACAGCTGTCAGCCTTTGCCACGGTAGAGGACCTCGTCTCCCACCTGCGCACTAGTGACGCTCGCTACCGCGCTACCGTCCCTGCTGAGTTCCTTGACAGGAACCAGCCCCCGATGTTCATCACCCTCTACTTCATAGTCACTCGCCTCCCTGACTCTCTTCGCTCTGTAAGGGACCACTTTCTCTCACTTGACCCCACCTCCCTCACTGTTGACCTACTCGAGCAGCACCTCCTCGCAGCTGAGACTAGTGCAGTTGCTGTAGGTGCTGCTCGTGGCACTCCGCGCCCACCCTTCTTTGAGGGGTGCTCCCCCTCCCCCCTTGTCCCCTCCTACGCCTCTGCCGCTGCTGCAGACGTCCCTGGTGCTGAGGACGTCAGAGCTGCTTCTGCTAGTGCGAAGCGCCGCAACAGCAAGGGCAAGGGTAGCTGGGGTGGTGGAGGGGGCAGCGGGAGTGGTGGTGGGGGCGGGCAGTGGAGGTAGTGGAGGCAGTGAAGGTGGTGGCAGCGGTGGGAGTGGTGGCGGGAGTGGGGGCGTTGGTGGCGGCGGTGGAGGCAGCGGTGGGAGTGGCGGCAGTTGGACTGGTGGTGGTAGGACTGGCGCTCGGCGTGGAGGTTCTGGAGGTGGCCAGTGGCAGCAGCAGCTGCGTCGGAGCGAGACCCAGTCGCCCCAGCAGCTTCGTGAGTGGTTGTTTCAGCGTGGTACATCTGGGGGTAGTGATAGCTGCCCGTATGTCATTTGCACGTGTGACCGTGCTGGCCAGACATGCGGGAGGCTTCACACTCAGCACCACTGCTTCTCCCGGCTCGATGACGCTTAGCGTGCTGGGTTTGGTGACGACGTCAAGCTCCCTCGCTGGGCAGATCTGCTTAGGTCTGGAGTTGCTCTCTTTGACCTAGACTTTGATGTTATCCTTTCTGCTATGTATGCTTTGTATGTAAGTGCTGAGGGTGACTGTTACCGGTGTGTGACACCTGACCCAGGTATAGCGGCTGCTGCTCTAGGTGCTAGTGAGTCTGGTACTCTCCCTGGTACTGCGCCTGCTAAGGCCTTGCACACCTTCATGCTAGACAAAGGTGCCTCGCGCTGTTTCTTTCGTGACAGCACCACTCTCACTCCTCTCCCTGCACCTGTCCCGGTCTGCCTAGCTGACCCCTCTGGAGGCCCAGTCGTTGCCTATTCCTCCACTGTCCTCCCGTGTCCGGCGGTTCAGTCCGGCTCTCTGTCAGGTCTTCACCTCCCCTCGTTCTCTACAAACTTGGTGAGTACCGCTGCCCTTCAGGATGCGATGGTCACTACCACCTCTCCTGGGGGTCAGCGTGTGTCGATCTGCACGTGTACGCGGACGGGCCGTCACCTGGCCACGTTCACTCGTCGGCCAGGGTGGAGTCTGTACACACTCGCTACCAAGCCTACTCAGGTAGCTGCGTCTGCCCAGGTGTCCGCGTCAGGTCAGGTAGCGCCCCCTTGCTCGTGTCGCCTCCTGTAGCACCAGACTCTTCTAAGGCACCACCGCCTTGGTCACCCTTCTCTGCCATGCCTTCGTGGCATGCACTCTCCCCTTCTTGTGTCTGGTCTCCCCAGGTCTCTGCCTCCACTCCCACCCTCGCCTGCTCCGCCCTGCCTTCCTTGCGTCGAGGGGCGGCAGCACGCCGCTCCTCACTCCTCCTCGTTTCCTCCGACGTCTGCTCCCCTGCAGACTCTCCACATGGGCGTGTGGGGCCCCGCCCGCATCACTGGACAGAGCCGCGAGCGCTACTTTCTGCTGGTCGTTAACGACTGCACGAGTTACACCACGGTCTTCCCCTTGGGCAGCAAGGGTCAGGTTGTTGACGTTTTGATCCCTTGGATACGTGCAGTTCGTCTCCAGCTCCGCGAGCGGTTTAGTAGAGACCTTCCTGTCCTAAGTCTGCACTCTGACAGAGGTGGTGAGTTCTCCACCAACCTCTTGAGGGATTTTTGTCATGGGGAGGGCATTCTCCAGTCGTTCACGCTTCTGGACTCCCCTCAGCAAAATGGGATTGTTGAGCGCCGCATTGGCTTAGTCATGGAGGTCACTCGTACCTCAATGATCCATGCGGCTGCTCCCCATTTTCTGTGGCCGTTTGCGGTCCGGTACGCTGCGCATCAGCTCAACCTCTGGCCCCGTGTCTCCTTGCCGGAGACCTCGCCCACACTGCGTTGGACAGGGAAGGTTGGCGATGCGTCGGTGTTCCGGGTCTGGGGTTCTCGTGCCTTTGTCCGCGATACGTCCGCGCACAAGCTCTCCGCCCGCGCCATTCCCTGCGTCTTCCTTGGCTTTGTCCCTGACGCGCCTGGCTGGCAGTTTTACCACCCTACCTCGCGCCGTGTCCTCCCCTCTCAGGGCGTCACGTTTGACGAGTCGGTTCCCTTTTACCGTCTCTTCCCCTACCGCTCTGCCCCTCTCCCTCCCCCGCCGCTCTTCCTTGCTCCAGGTCCCCCTCCGGTGGACCCCCTCCCTCCTCAGGGTCCTGCTCCCTCAGGTGTCTATCAGATAGACCCACCCCTTGGTGCTGTGCTGTCAAACTTATATATACTATAGTCTGTTTAGGCTGTAGTGGGGAAGTTCTTAGAGGGTACAACACTTTTGTGTTTCATACTTGTACCCACCTGCTGCCTAGTTCATTCATTCCTCAATTCTCTCACATGGTATAGAGCTAGTTCGATTTTTCCTAAGGGCCCACCACTAAAGTTCTTTTTTTTTTTTCCTTACCTGCCCGACGCGTGCGTCGCGCCTGCCCTTCGAGGCCCCTTCGCGGCCCGTAGCGGCCCCTTCACGGCTCGTAGAGGCCCCTTTGCGGCCCGTCGCGGCCCCTTCGCGGCCCGTAGCGGCCCCTTTGCGGCCCGTAGCGGCCCCTTCGCGGCCCGTAGCGGCCTCATCACGGCCCGTAGCGGCCCCTTTGCGGCCCGTAGCGGCCCCCTTTGCGGCCCGTAGCGACCCCTTCGCAGCCCGTAGCGGCCCCTTCACGGCCCGTCGCGGCCCCTTCGCGGCCCGTAGTGGCCCCTTTGCGGCCCGTAGTGGCCCCCTTTCCGGCCCGTAGCGGCCCCTTTGCGGCCCGTAGCGGCCCCTTCGCGGCCCGTAGCGGCCCCTTCACGGCCCGTCGCGGCCCCTTCACGGCCCGTCGCGGCCCCTTCACGTCCCGTAGCGGCCCCTTTGCGGCCCGTAACGGCCCCCCTTTCCGGCCCGTAGCGGCCCCTTCGCGGCCCGTGGCGGTCACCCCCCCCCCTCGCGTCCCTTAGAGGCCCGCCGTCGCCCGCCTCTGGACCGCCGCCAGTCGCTGACCAGCAGCCCGTCGCCAACCTGCCACCCGTCCCTGACCAGCCGCCTGTCGCCGACCTGCCGCCCGTCCCTGACCACCCGCCAGTCTCCGACCTGCCGCCCGTCGCTGACCCGCCGCCCGTCGGCCTGGCCCTGCATTGCTGCCGCCCCAACAG